TGTGTGTCTTTACTTATTTTCTGCCCGGTGGATCTATCCTTTGGGGTGAGTGGTGTGTTGAAGTCTCCTACAATGAATGCATTGCAGTCTATTTCCCTCTTTAGTTCTGTTAGTATTTGCTTCACATATGCTGGTGCTCCTGTATTGGGTGCATATATATTTAGAATGGTTATATCCTCTTGTTGGACTAAGCCCTTTATCATTATGTAGTGGCCTTCTTTATCTCTTGTTACTTTCTTTGTTTTGAAGTCTATTTTGTCTGATATTAGTACTGCAACCCCTGCTTTCTTCTCACTGTTGTTTGCCTGAAATATGTTTTTCCATCCCTTGACTTTTAGTCTATGCTTATCTTTGGGTTTAAGGTGAGTTTCTTGTAAGCAGCATATAGATGGGTCTTGCTTTTTTATCCATTCTATTACTCTATGTCTTTTGATTGGTGCATTAAGTCCATTTACATTTAGGGTGACTATTGAAAGATATGTACTTATTGCCATTGCAGGCTTTAGATTCGTGGTTACCAAAGGTTCAAGGTTAGCTTCTTTAGTATCTTACTGCCTAACTTAGCTCGCTTATTGAGCTGTTATATACACTGTCTGGAGAGTCTTTTCTTCTCTCCCTTCTTATTCCTCCTCCTCCATTCTTCATATGTTGTGTGTTTTGTTCTGTGCTCTTTTTAGGGGTGCTCCCATCTAGAGCAGTCCCTGTAGGATGCCCTGTAGAGGTGGTTTGTGGGAAGCAAATTCCCTCAGCTTTTGCTTGTCTGGGAATTGTTTGATCCCACCATCATATTTAAATGATAGTCGTGCTGGATACAGTATCCTTGGTTCAAGGCCCTTCTGTTTCATTGCATTAAGTATATCATGCCATTCTCTTCTGGCCTGTAGGGTTTCTGTTGAGAAGTCTGATGTTAGCCTGATTGGTTTTCCTTTATAGGTGACCTTTTTCTCTCTAGCTGCCTTTAAAACTCTTTCCTTGTCCTTGATCCTTGCCATTTTAATTATTATGTGTCTTGGTGTTGTCCTCCTTGGATCCTTTCTGTTGGGGGTTCTGTATAATTCCATGGTCTGTTCGATTATTTCCTCCCCCAGTTTGGGGAAGTTTTCAGCAATTATTTCTTCAAAGACACTTTCTATCCCTTTTCCTCTTTCTTCCTCTTCTGGTATCCCTATAATACGAATGTTTTTCCTTTTGTATTGGTCACATATTTCTCTTAGTGTTGTTTCATTCCTGGAGATCCTTTTATCTCTCTCTATGTCAGCTTCTATACGTTCCTGTTCTCTGGCTTCTATTCCTTCAATGGCCTCTTGCATCTTATCCATTCTGCTTATAAATCCTTCCAGGGATTGTTTCACTTCTGTGATCTCTTTCCTGACATCTGTGATCTCCTTCCGGACTTCATCCCACTGCTCTTGCATTTTTCTCTGCATCTCATCCCACTGCTCTTGCATTTTTCTCTGCATCTCATCCCATTGCTCTTGCATTTTTTTCTGCATCTCTGTCAGCATGTTCATGATTTTTATTTTGAATTCTTTTTCAGGAGGACTAGTTAGGTCTGTCTCCTTCTCAGGTGTTGTCTCTGTGATCTTTGTCTGCCTGTAGTTTTGCCTTTTCATGGTGATAGAGATAGTTTGCAGAGCTGGTACAAGTGACCGCTGGAAGAGCTTCCCTTCTTGTTGGTTTGTAGCCTTTTCCTGGGAGAATAGCGACCTCTAGTGGCTTGTGCTGGGCAGCTGTGCGCAGACAGGGCTTCTGCTTCCTGCCCAGTTGCTTTGGGGTTTATCTCCGCTGTTGCTGTGGGCTTGGCCTGGCTGGGGCTGTTCCTCCAAAATGGTGGAGCCCCGTTGGAGGGGGAGCAGCCAGGAGACTATTTATCTCCGTAAGGGGCCTCTGTGCTCCCTGCTGCCCAGGGGGTTAGAGTGCCCAGAGATCCCCAGATTCCCTGCTTCTGGTCTAAGTGACCTGTCCTGCCCCTTTAAGATTTCCAAAAAGCACTCTCCAAACCAAAACAACAACAGCAACAATGAGAGAGGGAACAGAAAGGAAAAAAAAAAGAAAAAACACGCGATTTTTTTTTTTTTTTCCCCAGGTGCCGGTCCCAGGCACCCGCGCACTGGTCCTGCTGCCCTGTCTCCCTAGCACCAGGGTCCCTGTCCTTTCAAGGCTTCCAAAAAGCACCCACCCACCGGTCCCGCAGGGAAGGAACGCTCAATATTCTTGGTCCTCAGGCACTGGTCCCACGCACCCGCTCACCAGTCCCGCCGCCCTGCCTCCCTAGCACCGGGGTCCCTGTCCCTTCAAGGCTTCCAAAAAGCACTCGGCAAAAAGAGAGAAAAAAAAGGGGAAAAACGCGCGATTTCTTCCGTCCTCAGGTGCTGGTCTCAGGCACCCACCCACCGGTCCCACAGGGAAAAATGCGGGATATTCTTTGTCCTCAGGTGCCGGTCCCAGGCACCCGCTCACCAGTCCCGCCGCCCTGCCTCCCTAGCACCGGGGTCCCTGTCCCTTTTAGGCTTCCAAAAAGCACTCGCAGAAAAGAGAAAAAAAAAAGGGGAAAAACGCGCGATTTCCTCTGTCCTCAAGTGCCGGTCTCAGGCACCCGCCCACCGGTCCCGCAGGGAAAAACGGGGGATATTCTTTGTCCTCAGGCGCCGGTCCCAGCCACCCGCTCACCAGTCCCGCCACCGTGCCTCCCTAGCACTGGGGTCCCCGTCCCTTCAAGGCTTCCAAAAAGCGCTCGCCAAAAAGAGAAAAAAAAAAAAAGGGAAAAACGCGCGACCTCCTCCGTCCTCAGGCACCGGTCTCAGGCACCCGCCCCCAGGTCTCGCAGGGAGAAACGCGGGATATTCTTTGTCCTCCGGCGCCGTTCCCAGGCACCTGCTCACCGGTCCCGCCACCCTGCCTCCCCAGCAACGGGGGCCCGTCCCTCTAAGGCTTCCAAAAAGCGCTCGCCAAAAAAAAAAAAAGCTCCGGTTTCTCTCCACCCGCCGGGAGCCGGGGGGAGGGGCGCTCGGGTCCCGCCGGGCCGGGGCTTGTATCTTACCCCCTTCGCAAGGCGCTGGTTCCTTGCAGGTGTGGATGTGGTCTGGATGTTGTCCTGTGTCCTGTGGTCTCTATTTTAGGAAGATTTTTCTTTGTTATATTTTCATAGCTCTATGTGTTTTTGGGAGGAGATTTCCACTGCTCCACTCACACCGCCATCCTGGCTCCCTTCTTCCTTTTTTTTTTAACAAGAGGAAAGTAAATTTGAAGTTTGACAGTTGCTGAAGCCACAGCATTCTAGGTGCCACCCTGCAGTCAGATCCTTGCCTAATAGAACTTGCTGTACAGAGCATCCCAGGGGCTTCATTTGAAAGGGCACTCTTTAAAGATTTTTCTGTTGGAATATTGGTTTCAGATCTACAACATAGTGTTTCTATAATTATATACATTACTAAATGCTCACCATGGTAAATGTAGCTACCCTTTGTCACCATACCAAGATTTTACAGTATTATTGGTTATATTCTCTTAGCTGTACTTCCATTTATTTTATAATTTGAAGTTTGTCCCTTTATCCCCTTCAACTGTTTTATCCGTCCCTCCAACCCTTTCCCCTATGGCAACCACCAGTCTGTTGTCAGTATTTATGGATCTATTTCTTACTTTTTTTTTTTAGATTTCACATATAAGTGAAATCATATGGTATTTGTCTTTCTCTGTCTTATTTCACTTAGCACAATAGCCTCTAGGTCCAGCTCCATTGTTGAGAATTGCAAGATTTCCTTCTTTTTTTCTGACTGAGTAATGTTCCATTGTATATGTGTACCATTCTTTCTTATTCATTTGTCTATCAATGGGAACTTGGCTTACTTCCATATCTTGGCTATTGTAAATAATGCTGCCATAAACATATATGTTCATGTATGTTTTTGAATTAGTGATCTTGTTTTCTTCAGGTAAATTCCCAGAAGTGGAATTTCTGGGTCATAATGGTATTTCCATTTTTAGTTATTTGAGAAACCTCCATACTGCCCTCCAAAGTGACTACACCAATTTACTTCGCCACCAACATGGAATGGTTTTGGAGAGCACTATTAGCAAACTGCAAGGAAATGAGTGAACAGATCAGAAAGGGTTTTCTAATAGCAGAGGAGTGAGAAAACAAAACAGGGAGGGAGATTAGACTAAAACTATGTAAGAACCTAATATCTCTGGGACTGGGAAGCATCCAGGTGCAACAAATTACTCTGACAGGAAGGAATAATCACACACTGGAAAGAGCAGGCACGTGGTATTTGGGGAACCGTGCATGGGCTGAGCAAGACACACTAAGCAGGCTGCAAAGTTCTCACCCAAAATTCAAAGCCAGAGTGAATTCAGGATCCCTGAGAGGTGGATACTGTAGGGCAAGATGTTTGGAAAACCCCTGAGGGATGGGTCCATTGTCCCAGAGTCAACCTTTCTGGGGAGGGAGGTAACAGGACTATTTGTTTCTCTATGGAGAGTCCTTGGCTGTAAAGTCATCCAACTGAGTCCTCTCTTCTGTGCTAAGTGTCCTTTGGTTGGAGTCCAGTTATTTCTGATATGTGTAAGAATATTATACATCGCATGTTAACCATAGTTATCTCTGGGAAAAGGTATTATACTTGGTTTTCTTTTTTTTTTTTCTTTTTTTTTTTGCTGTAATTTTCTCTCTTACCTTTTTCTACAATTGGTATTTCTTTTTATAAAAGAGAAAACATTTAGAGCGTCTGTTTGGCAGAGGTCTGGCTGGAGCTGGGAGCCAGGGCATACAGGTTGGGGAAAGCCCAGGGTAGCCTGTGGCCTTGAGATCTTCCCACTCTGCTCTGTGTCAGACTGGGGGCTTCTCTTTCTGTCTGAGCTCGCCATCTCCCCTGTTATCTGCTGCAAGAGTCCCAGGGCTTACAAGGACAACTGTTGAGCATGAGGAGAGGGCACTGTAGGAGGGGGAGACATGGCTTCTGCCACACCTGTCAGTCTGTCTCTGGTTGTGCTTTCAGGTGAGCCTCAAAGCAGGAGCCCAGAACCAGCCGCTCCTCTGACGACCATCAGCTAGTGCTGCTGCATCCAGCCTGTCCCCTGCCAGGCCCATCACTGTGCCACCTCTCAGCAGGTAAGGAAGTGATGTATCCTGTCCAAGAGCTGGTTCTCTCTGGAGAGCAGGCATTTTTGCCAGGTGTGCGTGTGTGGGCCTGGGGTGAGGCTGGACTGTCAGGATTCCTGAGGTGTGGCCAGGTCCTCATACTATCACTTTCTTCTTCTGGCACTTGTCACCATCCTGTTCCCCTTTCCCACCTTCCATAGTAGATGAACGGTATTATGAAGCCTGTCTTACAAATTAGCCACCACCTCACATTACCTCCCCCATGAGTGGATGTGCCCCATCTCAGGGGAGCAGGGAGAGGAACACCAAGCCATCTGCCTGGGCCTGGGCTCGGAAACCAAGTGTGCACCCCCTCAGGAAGAGAGATGTTCCTCAGGCAGGCATCCTTGTTCAGCAGCCCACTGTAACAGGGTGCAGGGAGGCAACAGCACCCCCTCCCTGCAGTCCAAGCTGGCGGGTCCCTTCAGGCCAGGGGGCTGTGCTCACTGGCTGTTTTTCAGGCATTTCCCAGGGAGACCCTGCAGCACTCTGTCAACAGACACTTAGCAGCAGCATGTGGAGATAAGTCATATTAGAAGGGTGGAGGAAAAGGCATGATGACATCCACTTGTCCAGAAATTCTAAGCACTGTGTCATAAGTCAGATCAGCAGCACTGGGGACTGAACCACCTCACACTGCCTCCCGCTCCTGACTCTGGGATTATGAGTTGTGCACCTGTGTGCACAAGATGCAGCCTGTCAGAATCTCCCTGTAAGCCCGTCTGTGTGTGAGTGCATTCCAGTGTCCTGAGAAAAAATGACCGTCTGAACATGGCAGTGACAGAGTCCCTCCCCCGAGGCTCATTCTCCCTTCTGCCTCGTCTTCTAGAAAGCCAAAAGTCAACTCAGTGGTCCACTGGTAGCCAGGGTGCCTATTTGGCTTAGTTCCACCTCCTTTTTGTCCCTACTTCCATTTTCACTTTTTGGCCAAGGTGAGGTGTCCATGTACACACACAAATGGAGAGACTTTCAAGTATGGCCTCTGGAGTCTTACAGGGCAGAGATGTTACTCAAGTGGAGCCTAAGAGGTACCTGGCCACATGGGGCCTCAGAGATCTCATGGGATCATCTCTTTAAAAAATTCAGTTGCCTTTAGCTCCAATTAACAAAAGCCATTTCCTTCCCCAGCACCAGCTATCTTCCTGGATTACTTTGCCTGCCACAGGGCTCCTGCTCTGTGGTTTAGGGTCACTCAAGGGGTGAGTCCTGGGAGAGCAGGATAGACCAAGGGTGTGGGGTATAATCCTTCCCTGCCCGGAGGGGTGAGTGCCACTTCTGCCAGAGAGACCAGCAAAAGTAGGTTATTTAACCTCCCTGAATGTGCTGACTCACTAGAAAAATGATTGGACCTAACCTTCTAAGTTCCCTTCCACTATTAACATTTAGTGATTCAAAGTCTTGCTACTCAAAGTTTGGTCTGTGGACCAGCAGCAACTGGGAGCTTGTAAGCAATACAGACTCTTGGACCATACCCCAACCCACTCAATCAAAACCTGTGTTTTATCAAGGTCCCTAGGGATTCATATGCCCATTAAGTTTTTCCAAGGACTGATTTAGAGTCCCAAAGGTACATGGAACACCTTGCGAAGTGAGTTGGTGACAGAAAGGAACAATAGTGCAGAAACGATTTGCAGCAGTGATGGTACATGCCAGAATCGCCTTGGGAGGTTGTGAAATACACATGTGTAGTCAACAGTCTGATTCCTGGGTACACGTGCCATGAGAGACCTTACCATCACTTGGAAAGGCAGCCTGATCCAGTGTGCAGGTCATTGATCACAACAATAGTAACGTACTGGAAACAGGGGCAGTGTGAGCTGAGGGCAGCAGAGCAGGCAGGCAGAGCAGGCTGTTACCCATGTGCCAGGAAGAGAGCTTTCCATCCTTGTTTCAGCACCTCTGTGTTTATGTACTTAGGGGCCCCTTTTGTGGGCACTGATAATTACCTCTCCACCTTCTTCTTGAGCAAGAGTGGAAATTGGAGGAAAGGTTCTCTGTTTTGTTGTTTGGTTTAAGGTAATGAAAAAGACATAAATATATTTTTATATGTTGAGGACAAGGCACCCAGGGGCTCCAATACTGTGGGAGAAAGAGGGGTGAGTGGTAGAGCAGAGCCATAGAGGAGGGGACAGGCCCACCATCTGTGCAGTACAGACAACCCTTGAACAACACGGGTCCACTTATTCACCAATTTTTTTCTAAATATATTGGAAAAATTGTTTGAGATTTGTGACAATTTGGAAAAACATTTCCTTTTCTCTAGCTTACTTTGCTGTAAGAATACAGTATATAATGCATAAAACAAATAAAATACATGTTTATTGACTATGTTATCATTAAGGCTTCCAGTCAACAGTAGGCTCTTCATAGTTAAGTTTTGGGGGAGTTTTTTGATTCTACAGGAGGTCAGTGGCCCTGCCCTCCATGTTGCTCAAGGGTCAGCTCTCTGAGCCCCAGAGAGGAGATACTTTCAGTGCCAGTGAGGGCAACTGCACAGACATGACTGCAACTGAGAAGAATATGCATTCTCAGTGTAATGGGTCAGAAGCAGACGGTCCATAATATCTGAGGCTCAGGGCCCTGGGTCAATTTCTCCATGAGCTTCCTGACTTTGCCTTGGGTCAGCTCCCCTGTGGTCAGTATGGCAAAACTCACTCAAGGCAGCCAAAGACAGGGGTTTCTCCTCTCATGCCTCGACTAGGAAACCTTTCCTACAAGTCTCCTGCAGGCACCGCTCCTTTCCCATTGATGGGGACAAGCTCAGGGAGGTGGAAAAGTGAGGGTGTGGCATTCCCAGCAGGGAAGGTGGGCCCTGCTCTCAGGGACCTGGTAAGGGAGCAGCTGGGATGGGCCAGCAGGAGAGGGTGCAAGGAGACGCAGAGAAGCTGGGGGGCGGGCGATTTAAGGAGGCTCTGTCTTAACTCTAATGACCGTTTTCCTATCAGTTGGGGCTGAGGGCATCCAGTGAGGAGAGAGCAGGTGGTGAGGACTCGATGGAGACTGACAATCAGGAGAGCAAAGTGTGGGTGGGGTGAGTTGGGAAGGGGTGAGATTGGCAAGCAGCTTTGATGCCCCACTCAGGCTGCACTGTGACCCTCTAGGCTCCGGTCCCCAGCATTTAGGGGCTTTCTCTTGCAGCACTTTAGTGAGCAGAGAGGGGAGGGGTTGGATTGATACAGTGTTGGGTGTTCAGGACAAAGGAGAGAAGGCGAGTCTTGGGTGATTGTGCTGGCGGGGCCGAGGGAACCAGAGATGGCCACAGGGGCCTCTACATGGTACAAGGAGAATGGAGGGAGTGAGAGCGAGGGGCCAAGGGCGGTGCTGGAGCCCAGGAGCAGCCCCCTGGTGGTGGACAGAGGAACAGATGGCTGTGCACTGGAGGGGGTGCAGGTGGGGCTGCCACGGGGGAGGTGGAGGGGGCTGCTGGGAAGGACATGGGAGGGATGAGGCCGCAAGCCCCTGTGCCGGGCTCCCAGATACCAACCTAAAGAGGGTGGCCCAGCCGCCAACTTGTTTTATCTCCAGGACACAGGAAGGAAACCATAGCTCAGCGGGATCCTTTTCAAATATTGAGCATTCAGCCAGTGTTCCCCTGTGTCGTGGACTGTGTTGAAAATGGATTTTTTGTAAACGGGAGGGTGAGAAAAGGGCCAGGTAACATGCCTCACTGTGCAATTGGAAGCCATTGTCACCCATGTCCCCAGCTCTCAGGCTTGAAGGATTGGACCCCCTCTGAGTGGGTTCTCATTAGATGGAGAAACTGTCATTTATGGCCTGTGCTTTCTTGTGAACACCCTGCATTACAGTGGTCTTTTTTTAATCATGTGGCATCATTACATGTTGAGTCAGGGAGAATTTCTTCCCGCGGCTAGAAAAACAAATCTATGCCTGGGATAGGGGTGTGTGTGTGTGTGTGTGTGTGTGTGTGTGTGTGTGTGTGTGCGCGCGCGCGCGTGCGCACGTGCGTGTGCACGCATGTTATTGTTTTAAAGAAACTTCCAACAATAATAAGTAGGTCTGTAAACTTTTTGGAATGACATCAAATTAAAATGAATAAAGTCAGCTTATTCATGGGAAACTTGTACTTAGAACTATAAATTGCTAGGGGCAGATGTATGAGACAGTGGGAAGAACCTTCAGCTAAGCTTCCAAGTTTTGAGTTTGGGTTCTGGATCCACACATTTTGGCTGTGAGACATTTGGCAATTGGGTTAATTTCTCTGAGTTTTGCACCTCGTTTACTTGCAAAACATAGCTCCATGTGTTTTGCCAACTTTATCGGCTGCTAGAGGAATGAATGAGCAAATGTGCAGGAAAGTGATTTATTGCTAGAAACTCATGTAGAGGATTTTCTGGTAATAAATTTCAGGGTATTACTTATGTTCTATACTCTACCGCTGTACTATAACAGTATAGTTTATATTGCTCCCCCTCTCCCCCAATATGCAGATGTCAGGGTATTACTTATACTTGTGGGGGTAGTACAGTAACTAGAGCAATGGGAGAAAGTCTTTCCAAACAAAAGCATCATGTCATTCCCATCACTCCTGTAAAACATTCCTTTCTTATCCCAAGATGGTTCGCTCCCAGGTGGTCCCTGGCTCGGCAGAGAAGTGTAGATGGTGGAAGAGGGGAGAGAGTCAAAGCAGCGCTGCCTTCCATTGGCAAAAGCAAAACTTCCAGCCCTTTCCCTTTGGTGTTTCAGGGGCAGCAGAATGAAAGAAGTCATGTCCAATAACAGCACCACGAGCATCTCCCAAGCCAGGAAGGCTGTGGAACAGCTGAAGATGGAAGCCTGTATGGACAGGATGAAGGTAAGCGCCTGCAAGCCAGCCTCACTCTGACTAAAACCCAGCTCAAAACATTCCTCCTATTTCCAAAGCAGCCTCGGAAGAGTTAATACATCACCCAACAGAGCATCCAGCCAACCTTGGCAGCTTAACATTTACAAGCGAGAGTTCCAAGTGTGCCCAAGGATTCAAATGATGCAAAATACAGTGTGCACAAATTCCATGAGGAGTCGCCAAAAATAGGCTCATGTTTTTCTGAGCTCTGTTTAGCTCTGTTGTCATGCCAATAAGTGAGAGAGTTTAACAACGAGATCAGTCACAGTTTAGCTGCCTGATCCAGTGACTTTGAGGTTAGACAACATTGGATATTTTGACAGGAGCACTGCTGAGAAGTGAAGCATGGAACCACACAACATGTGGGTTAAATGTTCTTTTGAAGAAAGTGAAGAAAGGTGCCAGTCACCACCGACCATGTTCATTTCACTGGTGAGCATAGGGGTTTTCATGCTGGGATAGCTGAAGCAAGAGGAAGCCACCTATTCCCTGGATGCCACTTGGAAGCACACAGAAGTCCAGGCAAAGCATGTGGGTCTGAAATGTAGTTTAGGCTCATTGACAGTAATGCAGTTCGAACCCCGTCAGAGATCTGACACCAGGAAACTCAAGTTCAATCTGTCTGTGGATTTTGGGCAGATAAAACCAGGTGTCTCAACCAGACACCTGGGATTCAAAACGGACAGAATCCATAGGGCAATAGGCAACTCTTAAAGCCGCCAGTTGGCAGAGCACGCAGTCCCTCCTCAAGGCTCCCTCCACTGAGATCATCCCTCATGCTAGAGTTATGGGCAGATAGCACCTACTTCTGCCTCCATGAGGAAAGTTACTCCCTTCCCCTGGGGATTCTGAGTACGAGCTATCCAAGGAGGCAGTAATGGGTACAGGAAGTAACACAACAACGTAAGAAGCAAAGAGGGCATACAGTACAATACAGATGGGCTGAGTGGACTGGTGTTACTTGAACATCTGCATCTTGCACATACTGATACCAACTACAAATTAGACTCTAGTCCTTGATCTGTAGGCTAGAGGAAGGAGGCAGAAACAAATCATTCTAAAGGAGGGAGCACCCCATTAGTGTAGAAATGGATCTGAGTGCCACAGGCATTAACTAGGAGCTCTAGTGGTGCAAAGACAAGTGTTTGCGGAAAGGATGAGACTGTGGTGAATATTCACTCATGAGATAAACATGCCTGAGCACCCATCGTGCACCAGGTGTGGTCCTGGGACATAAACTGGAATGGGATGCTTCCTGTCACTGTTTAGAGATTTCATGGAGTTGTGAGCTGTGTGCTGGTTCTGAGGTGATACTGGAGGAGCAGGGAAGGCCAGTGGGAGCCTACTATGGCTTATTTTGAGCAGCTGGACTTGAAAGAAGGCTGGGAAGGCAACTTTGGGCAACTGTGAGGTGCAATGCACTCAGACGCAGATCTCGGTGATGATTGGGTATGAAGCCCAGCCCATGAGACTAGCTAAGCTGTCAGCAGTAGATAAAGTCGTCAGAGGCTGGAGGCGTATGAAGCAACCAAAGTAAATCAGGAGAGACAAAGAGATAAAGAAGGCCTATATAGTGTAGAGCAGAGTGCAAAGGTGGGATTGGAGAGGCAAATGCACCACGAAATGTAACAGAACTTAGAGGGTAAATGGAGCCACTAGGCAGAAAGGAGTTAGAACCCAGCTGTCAAGCTCCATGGCCAGAGGACTGGAAAGACAGCACACACGGGTCTGGGTAACAGGACAGTAGCCACACCAGGGACTTCCACCTTAGCAAGGAAGATAAGCTGTGAAATAACAGAGCCTTGCCTGTGACAGTCACCACCAAGAATCACAGTTGGGGTGTCCCCACAATGAAGGGGCTCTTCAGGAGTCACTAAAGGCACATGCACAGCCTCTTAAAGGAGGAGGAGAAATCAAGTTTGTTACTCAGATGGTATTCAGAGAGACAGGCAGGTGTGTTCCTGTGGCAGCTGTGTTATGGAATCCCAGTAGGGGACTCCCTGGAGGCATCTTTAGACTGAGGTAATTCCAGGGACAGGCCAGTGACAGCCATGTCAGATGAGGTTCAGAGTGGGTGGTTTTGTCACTGCAGAGATGACCCAGGGCTGCCTGAGAAGAGAGGTGGCCCTGAGGAGCTACATCCTTGCTACAGCTACACAATCACACATTTTGTTTTCTTATTCACAGAACCTTGAACATTTATTGGTTTTAATCAGTATAAGTTACACACAATGTGTAATTTACCATTTGAACTGCTTTACTTCACAATTTGATAGCATTAAGTACAATGTCGTGCAGCCATCACCACCACCCATCTTCAGAACTTTTGCCTTATCCCAAAAAGAAACCCCTTCTGCCAAAATCCCTCATTTTCCAGCCCCTGGAAACCTCTTCTGTTTTCTGTATCTATGAATTTGACAACTCTAGTACTTCATTTATGTAAGTGGAATCACACAGTGTTTGTCCTTTTGTGACCAGCTTATTTCACTTGGCATATGTCTTCAAGGTTTGTCCACATTGTAACATGTCAGAATTTCATTCTTCTTTATGGCTGAATAATATACCATTGTGTGTATGGACCACATTTTGTTCATCCATTCATCTGTTGATGAACCTTTTGAGTTGTTTCCACCTTTTGGCTTTTGTGAGTAATGTTGCTGTGAACATGGGTGTATAAGTGTTTGCATCCTTGCTTTTAATTTTGTTGGGTCTACACCCAAAAGTGGAACTGCTTTACTTTACAATTTGACAAAAGTGGATCATATGGTAATTCTGTGTTCAGCTTTTGGAGGAACCACCATACTGCTTTCCACAGTGGCTGTGCCATTTTACATCCCCATCAGCAATGCACAAGGGTTCCATTTTCCTCACATCCTTACCAATACTTGTTACTCTCCTTTTCTTTTTTATAATAGCCCTCCTAATGGGTGTGAAGCTCACACATGGTTTTAAGCACTAGGCATGCCTTGCTTCAGGGCACAGTGTGGCTTTGGGGGTAAATCTACTTGATGCAGCTCTTACACAAAAAAAGTGCATGTTTTTATCAACTAGCCAGTGAAAGTAGTGTGTTGAAAGAATTCGCTGAACTCAAACAAACAGTGATGGGAGTGCCAGGGCCAGATGAAGGGAAACAAGGACAGGCTGGCTACAAGATGAGATTGCAGAAAAGGGAGTATTGCATGCCTTTCAATGGGCCAGAGAGAGGGAAGAACAAGCAGCAAGGGAAACAACTGGACCCTCATGGGAGAAATCACCGCAATTATGATCCCATAGGGCTGGCTCCCCAGGGGAAGCACAGCAGACAGGCCCAGAGGGCAGCTGGCCAGGACAGTTTCAGGCCTGAAACCAGAAGAAGCCCCATGGCTAGCAGGGTGTGTAGGCAACTGCAGAGCCTGCCTCTGGGCCTGCCATGCTTGGAAGGGTGTGTCATGGGGAAGGATGGTGTTTGCAGCTCATGGGAAGAAAGGGAAGGTCCGTTAGGGAGGCAGAAAGTGGGGGAAATAGCTGCATTAAGCAGGTGTTTGGGTTGTACAGATAAGAAAAACTAATAGTGCAAACTCAGAGAGTTTGAGCAGTTCTTGGAGGACAAATGTAGCCTAAATATCTTATCATCTTAAAGTCCTGTTGGTCCCTTAAAAGCATCATCTGCACAAAAGCACTACTGCTAATGGAGACTTGGGTCCAGATGTTGTAGAGGACATAGAAGGGAGGCTTTACACCACAGTAATCACAACCAGACCTCAAAGCCATGCACAGTGGGGTCAGAGACCCTCTCCACACATGACCTCTGCCCCCTGCCCACCCCTCCCCCACCTTCATTCATTTAATGCTCATTGAGTACCTCCCCCTCTCAGCCCTCTCCCCAAGTTATTGCCCACCCTCTCCCCCAGCACCCATGTGACTCTTTTCTGTCCTGCTTAGAAGCTCATCAGGGCATTTCCCATCCAAGGTGGGTGCTCCTACCGAGAACATATATATCAGCTACAAAAAAAGGTATATGTACTCCATGTCTTATAAGCACAGGATGATTCAACCTAGAACCTGTATGGCCTCCCCATTAGCAAAATGCTTAGAAAACACTACTCAGGATCCTAAAACAGAAATAAAGAGCACATGAACTAGTTTTGGAAACTAGTTTGATTCTCAGGAAGAAAATACCCATAGCTTTATTCCTTTTCTCTCCTATTAAGGATCAAGCAATTCAAAATCTTACTGGAAAAGTACATATATGACATTGATCACTGAATATGGAAGATTTCCAGGACAATTATGGCAGATTCGAACAAGTAAAGCATAAGAAGCTTAAATGGAAAAGCTGGTTGCTGGAGCCAGCTTGTCTAGACCAAGATGTCGTGCTGTGGGCAACGTACACAGGTCCTGAGCAGTCCAGGTCACAGGCTCCCAGGAGGGCTTCTGGAAGCTGCCTCTCCATGTGGCATCCCTGAGGGTGCCCTTATTTTCCTGCCCCAGAGGAAAGGAGATTGCTGACATTGGGCCAACCCCATGGGCTTTGACTTGATAGGCTCTGGAGATGAATGGACACCTTTGAGCAAACCAGTGACTCTCAGCTGGGACCAGGAAAGAGCTCACAGACCTGCCAAGCAACGTGATGCCCAATCTTTCTATGTGCCCTGTGGCCTATGGTAGATAACTTAAACAGCTGTGGGATGTACTTAACAGTCCCTAAAAAAGCTGCCATTAGGCTGAGGTTCATTTGGTCAACACCAGCTTGATTTGCCAAATCCTGACAGATGCATCAACCCATTCTATATCAGCCTGCATTCTGCAGATGACTAAAACAATGAGGGCAGGAAAAAAGAGAGTCAGATGACATATACACTAAAAGCTAAAGCCCAAAAGACAGTGGCTGAAGTGAGACTAATGATGAAAGGGGTTGAAGTAAAAAAGATTATGTTGTGACAAATAATGACAATTGTTCACAATCCTCCTTTAAGAGAGTTCAGAAAAAT